AACACATGTTTGGGAAAAAAAAGTTTAAATTTATACTAATCTAATATTTTTTTTCTTCGTAACTCTATAACCATCTCACATATTCGCTTATAACATATAGAATTCTTATGTGCACACACTTCATTAAACAGCACGGTCTGCTAAGAGACGTATGACGAGGTAATTATCTTCTTAAACGTCGATGATGTCGTTGTACATACGTATCGCTCGCCGCAAAGTTTTTTTTTCTTTACTGCACTCGACTGTGTCACCGTCATCGTATGGGAGAACAGTTGTTACAAAAAATATTAGGCGTGTATTAAAATTCTGGCAACAGTTTCTTCACACACGTAAATAATATTTCACCACTCATAGTAGGAGTAATGTCCAAACCCAACATCCGTAAAACCTATCTGCTCATTAGCATTTATGTTATCGCTATTAATGTCATTAGGGAATTGACATTGAGGAAAGAGAGTGAGAAAGTAGGGTAAGTCGGAAATCTCGTACAAGGAAAAACTCGAACTGTCGACGATAGGACTCGGACTTGGTAAGTTAGACTGCTGTTCGTCATTTCTTAGATTCTCGCTATCGTTACTGCAGTCAGTATTGCTCAAATCGATTGGTTGTTTAGCCTTCTTGGACAAACTCGCTTTATTTTTACAACTTTTCGCAATTTTGTCCTTGTCCATATGCTTAAATATAAAGTTTTCACCATTCTTAAATTTCCTCGGGTTGTAGACATATTCCGGATACATAACCTTGTGTTGGCGTGAAGCTAATTTCGAGAGAAGGTTGAAATATTGTTTGACTTCTTTTGGTTGACTTTTCCAATTTTCGGCGGCCGTCTTGGAAATTTCCTTGAGAGTATGCGACCCGTCAGGACGTTGAGAGCGTTCTTGGCTTTGAAAATTACGTCTAAACAGCACCCATGCATTTTGAGGTCTTGGAGGCAAGTTTCTCTTGTTGCTGTTCTTGCGTCGCTTGCGAATGGGATTGAGAATACTGTCGTAAGATATGGTAAGAGGGTAGGGCGGATTGCGAATAAGTTCCAGTTCGGTTGGTGTGAGATTATTAATAAAACACGTTGCCGGACAAGTAGAATTGGTGGCTGCACATAGTTCTGTGTGAGAATGAACTTGACGCAAAATTGGTTGATTAATTGAATTTGAACTCATTTTCATATCCAGGGAAAGGAGGCGACTGAGATTATTTTATATTGCATGCCCATGCTTTGTCATACGTTCCAAGTAAATTCGAATGCGTGTTCTAATTCTTACTTGCACTGAATAAATGCCCAATCACACAAACTTTTTTTTGCACCGCCAAACATTGTTCTTACTATATAAGCAATATAAATAATATAAGTGTTTTCTCTGTATAATATAGCTCTATATATATCCAACAGGTTACTAAAAAAAGACGTTATGACCGGAATATCACTCCGGTGATGCAATACAAACCATTGTTCCTTTGGCCAAAACTACTCGACATATGTCTCGCACTAATTTTAAATTCCAGGTTTTTGGACTGCTACGGCAAACATAATTATTCGTTTGAGAAAGAAACTTGCCGAGATAATTTATATATAGCATTGCATCCAACGGTTATAAAATTAAGACTTTTTTTGTCACAAGACTGATTATAAGATGGCATTATTATAAATCAACCAAGTTAACTAGATTTACAGGTCAAAACGTATGACCTCCTTGTTTCGTATGGCTGTGCAAATCGCGCAGTAACGTCGAAGTCTAAACTATGGTCGTTAAATTGAGTTGAAGGTGAGCTAATTCTACTTCAGCCAATTGCATTATTAAGCAAAAAAAAATTATTATGTGTCTTTCTGACATACTAGTCTTAAGTTTAATATGTTTTACGGCAAATTTAACCCAAACGTCTCATACATCAACAAAGCTGTACGTATAATTTAACCACTTTCTACATGCTTCAACCTTAATAAATAAAGTAAACAAGAAATGGATAAAATCGCTTTAGAAAACCGAGCATGTAATTACGCGCGCTATGTATATTATACACAAAAGTATCTAATAAAGCTTTTCCCTAAAGTTACAACAAACTAGAATTGGATGACGAAAAGGTCGCTAAACGTTTGATAGTAATAGTATGCTGACTTGTAAAGACAACCAATAGTTTTCCTGAGTAAAATTACATGCATTGTTCATAAAAAGCAAATCCGTACACTAAGTTTTTTTGGTGAGGGATAATTTTTTTTAAAAAGCATCAAAGTGTGGCTTATTAATTAAGTACTCTGTTTGCATGAATGATACGCAACCCAAATTTATATTTCAATTATGCAATCGGTGAGATCTGTATCCACATACAGACGTTCTGTCAAAAACCCATTTAATCTGTACGTTATGTAATGGTGGAATAATGGTTATTATATAATCGCCAATTAACTTCGTCGTTGGTAATCCTTGCGATACATCACATGGGTCATCTCTTGCTTATAATGAAATCCGCCAAGCCACAGGCTGATCTTTTTGAAATTACTTAATATAAGTCTATTAAAAATATGTTGTCCGAAAATTACTCTAAGAACAATTACTCGTACAATGCATATGACGTTAGTAACTTCTTACACTATCCATAAACGCTGTATGTCTTTGTCATTATGCATTATTGAATGATCTATTTGCATCCTAGTTTGGCATCCGCAGCAGTCACAGGATGTGGCGTATGACCCACTATAAAAAAAAGTCTTGCTGTCGGTGTCTGAATATTTAGAAATTCGAACGTTCGTGAGTTCGATTAGAATAGCAAACTCAGACAAGGAAAAAAAGACATTGAAATTACAGTGTTCTCGGCTATAATTATCGCACGCACTACTGAATAATTGTGCATTCAAACGCTATAGAATTCGGTACGGTTCTTCTACGTAGACTATGGAAAATTCAGTCGAACGGGTATGTCCCATTGTCGGCAACCTGTAATAATATGTGTAAGCCGTAAACGGCAACCTGTAATGATATGTGTAAGCCGTAAACTCTGTCCCAAGAATTGAGTGAAAAAAGAACAAACTTTCCGCAAGCAAAGAGCATGAATTGAAGCCAATTCCAAGCATCTACTGCGGTACACCTTTAGCGTTCAATCGTAGGTGTAAACAAATAAAGAACGCAAAACTCCAAGCATTTACTGCGTATCATTGCTTACTACTGAGTAATTGTGTACTCAAGCGCTACAGAATTGGAAACTTTCTTCCATGTAGACTATGAAAATTCGGCCGAGCAATGCACATCAATAGTTTGTAAGTTGGTAAAACCGCCCCAGGAATATATACATCACTCATATATGCAGGCGTTTCTCTAAACAAGAGTTAAAGCGGTATTCAATATCAATCGTAAACGTCTTAGTTAGTAATTTCTCAGAAAACATTACCTTTCGACTGTTTTTTGAACAGTAGTTGCTAAACAGAATGGTATAGGGACAGGTGCTAGAAAATCTCACTCGACGTTTAGAAATTTATAAACCAATACACGTTGCATTGCTTATCCTCATTTTGTGGCTGTACAGCTGAAGGGTTTCTGTAACTATGAAAACTATGGCTGTGGTTTACTCTATTTTCGTTGAAGCGACATTATACATTATCAGCCGTTTAGATAGTAAAAACGATTCCCAAATCTGTTTGCCTCCTGAAGAAATAAATACGCCAATATGTATGATTTTTTGTCATCCAACTATTTATGTAGAATTTAAATAAAGTTTATCTCGTGTTTGTTTTGAGCATATGCTCTTAATTATCATTGGTTTGATCAAAAAATTACTATCCACGCTAGTGATCTGGTACTAACTAGTACAACAGTATGATAAGGCGATCTGTCATGACAATATTAATATTCTCAATGTATTACAACAGAGCAACAGAGAAAATAGTATTAGAACAAGGCATCATGGATGTGTTTTCTTCACAGCTTCTTCACCAAATAGTTGTAGAACATCAACTTGAAGATCATACAGTTCACAAAGACATAATTGCTAGTCAGAGACACGGCAAATGTTTGCAGGCTTGCTCGCCTTTTTCTTAATAGCTAATTTAGAAGAACATTTTCAAAGCCTACAAGCAGATCGAAACTTGCAACGTACTGCATTTGACTACACTGTATGATGCATTTTTAACAAATTTTTGCAAAGGAGCCGTCCCTTCAAATATTGTTGCGAGTCAGCGATTGCAGGAAACAAAATAGCTCCATAGGTATGTCGGGCTCTCATAAGTCTTTTATGAAACCGAAATGTTAACCATCGCCCAATTTTCGGTGATGTGTTAGGCGATTCATGGGAGACACTTTCATTAGCAATTATATTCTATTGCGAAATATGCTAATAGGGACTATAAGAAGAGCCCCCATGTGAAAAAACGGCGATCATAAATAAGGCCCACTAGTTCGAAAATCATACTAAGTATGCTACGTGACGAATTCGTAGATCATTTTGCATTGTTTTTAAGCCATAACCAACATTTCCTTATTCATGAGGGTATTAGAGATTGTAGGTAATTTCATAAATAATTTTGGCACAAACTATTGGTGACTATAGGCAGATAGTGACTATAAACGGAGGGACTATAGACAGTTTTAGTTAGTAGTTCAGAAAGTTGTTGGTGCTTGCAATCATATTTTTTATTCTTGCTTATACAACGTCGGTCTTTTTATTTTATTTTATTTTATTTTTTGGTTAATAGGTAAACAAGAAATACATGTTTGGAGAGAAAAAAGTTTAGATTTATACTAATCTAATGTTGTTTTTCTTCTTCGTAACATCTCACATATTCGCTTATAACATATAAATTTTGTGTGCACACACTTCATTGAACAGCACATGTCTGCTAAGAAACGTATGACGAGGTAACTATCTTCTTAAACGTTTGTCTAACAAAAATCGACTCACAGTTTTCTTTTCACCGTTATCGTATGGGAGAACTATTTGTTACAAAAAATACTAGGCGTGTATTAAATTTGTTTCTTCACATACGTGAATAATGTTTCACTACTCATCTGATTCTATTAGTAGGAGTAATGTCCAAACTCAACATCCGTATAACTAGCATTTATGTTATCGTTATTAATGTCATTAGAGAATTGACATTGAGGAAAGAAAGGAAAAGTCTGAATGGAATTTGGAGACATTTGAGTGAGTAAGTCGGGTAAGTCGGAAATCAAACTCCAAAAGTCGATGATAGAACTCGGACTTGGTAAGTTAGATCGCCGTTCGTTATTTTCTGTATAACTTTCATTCCTGATAACGCCACTATAGGCATTATTGCTCAAATCGCTTGCTTTAGCCTTCTTAGACAAACTCGCTTTACTGTTATAACTTTTCGCAATTTTGTCCTTGTCCAAATGCTTAAATATAAAGTTTTCACCATTTTTAAATTTCTTCGGGTTATAGATATATTCCGGATACATAACCTTGTGTTTGTGTAAAGCTAGTTTTGAGAGAACGTTGAAATATTGTTTGACTTCTTCTGGTTGACTTTTCCAACTCTCGGCGGCCATCTTGGAAATTTCTTTGAGAGTATGCAGCACGTCAGGGCATTGAGAGCGTACTCGGCTTTCAAAATCACGCCTAAACAATATCCAACCATTTTGAGGTCTTGGGGGCAAACTCTTCTTGTTGCTGTTTTTGCGTCGCTTGCCTGTGGGTTTGAGAAGAATGTCGTAAGATATAGTAAGAGTGTAGGGTGGATTGCAAAAAAGTTCCAGTTCGGTTGGTGTAAGATTATTAATAAAACACGTTGCCGGACAAGTAGACTTGGTGGTTGTACATAGTTCTGCGTGAGAATAAACTTGACGCAAAATTGGGTTTTGACTAATTGAATTTGAACTCATTTTTTTGGTACCCAGTGAAAGAGAAAGCAATACTTTTAGGAAAAAGGCAGCAATACTTTTGGGTTTTTATATTTGCAGCATGTCGTACATTGGTATTTCTAGAGTTACGGTTTATGAATAAAACCTGTTTGAGTTAAATAACGCGGTTCTAATTTCTACCCGCTCTGAATAATGCCCTATTCTTCAAATGTGTAACAGACAATACTCGATATTTTTTTTTGCACCGTGGAGTGTTGTTCTTATTGTGTAATTATATAATAAGTGTTTTCTTTATCTAATATAGCTCTATATATATCGGACTATCACTCCGATAAATCAGAGTTCATTGTTATTTGACCAAAACTTCGACATGTGTTTCACACAAATTGTAAATTATTGGATTGCTACGGCGAACATGATTAGTTGAATCTATCTTTCAAAAAAAAAAAAAACTTGTCAAGATAGTTTATATATACAGCATTGCATCTAACGGTTATAAAATTAAAACCTTTTTTTGTCACAAGACTAAATATAAAATGCCGTTATTATAAACCGAAAGCAAGTTAACTGGTTTTTCGGGTCAACATTCCTACAACACAAGTTCAAAACCTGAGTCTTCTGTATGGCCTCCTTGTTTCGTATGGGTGTGCAGATGACATGCACGCCAAAAGCAAATTGCCCAGTAAAGTCCTAGTCTAAACTATAAAAGTGAGCATAATTCTACTTTAGTCGTCCATTACAATATTAAGCGAGAGAATAATTTTATGTGAGCCTTTTTGATGTGTTTTACGGCGAGCGAAATTAATCAAAGCATCTCATATAATAATAAAGGACAACATTAACAAAATTGTACCAATTTTTACATAATACAACCTTAATGAAGTAAACAAGAAATAGACAAAATTACTTTATTTTTTGACAAACTAACTAAAAAAGTAGTCAACAAAAAAAATTAGAAAACTGAGCATGTATTTACGCGCGTTACATAGATTATGTACAAAAAGCAGGTTAAACTATCTAATAAGGCTTTCTCCTAACGTGACATGTTTGCTCTTTAATTAATTAGCTACATTTAGTGCTTTGTAATGTGGTCTCTCTCAATGTTTGATAGTATGCTAAATTGTAAAGACTAACCAAGAGTTTAGCCTGAGTAAAATTGCATGCATTGTTAATAAAAAGCAAACACATACACTATAGTTTTTTGCGAGGGATAATCTGTTTTAAAAAGTAGCCAAGAGTGCACAAAATATGTGGAACAAAAGCCTTATTGACTAAATCACTTCTGCTTGAATGAATGATACACAATTATGCAATCGGTGCGATCTACATCTGTCAGACGTTCTGTAAAAACCCTTCCATATTAAGACTCTTGCTCGGGAATTGGAAAAATGTGTCGGTTTTGCGAAGCTACCCCAAGCTCGGGAAAAGGGATGGGACCCCCATTATAATTATATATAATCGGTAATTAACTTTCGTCATTGGTAATTCTTTCGCTAAATTACAAGGGTCGTCTCTTGTTTATACGAATCTGCCAAATCTTCGCAGTCTATCAATATCCGAAAATCAATTACTGTATGATGCACATGACGTTACATAGCCCAAAAATGATGTGTCCCGTCTTTGTTCCCCTTATGCAATGAAGATCTCTTATTTTATTTTTATGCAATGAAGATCTATCTGTGATCTTATTTTATCATTTCCAAACCGAAGCTGTCACGGGATACGGCGGCGGCACCATGCATGTGGTGCAGTACAGCACACTGTTGTCAAACTTTATAAGTTCGAACGTTCGTAAGTCCGATTAGAATAAACGCATACAAGGAAAAGAAGACGTTACAAATTACTGTCTTCCCTGTCTGTAGACTATGGAAATTCGGCCGAGCAATGCACATCAATAACTTGTAAGGTGTTTGAGGACCTGTCTCATTAGACTATCTCAGTCTGAACTGAGTTCTGGACTGAGTGAGTGACTGAGTTCTGAACTGAGACTCAGACACAACGAAACCATCCCCAGGAATATATACATCACTCATATATGTTGACACTTCTCTAAACAGGAGTTAAAGCGGTATTTAATATCACTTGTAAACGTCTTAGTTAGGAATTAGTAGACATTACCCTTCGGCTGCTTTTTGAACGGTAGTTGCTAAACAGAATGGTATTAGGACAGGTGCTGGTCTCTGAAGAAATGACATCTCACTCGACGTTTAGAAATTTATAAACCAATACACGATGCATTGCATATCCTTATTCTTATGGCTGTACAGCTGAAGGGAAAGTCTGAATAATAATGGCTGTGGTTTACTCTATTTTCGTTGAAGCGACATTATCATACGTTTAGATAAAATCAAAGGATTTTACGAAATTGTTTACATTTCTTACCGTAGTAAAAAACAATTCCCCAAGTCTATTTGCCTCTTGAAGAAATATATAACGGTAAATACGTATTATTACTATGTTTATTATCGCCTAAGTTTCTGACTATTATTTGCGAATTTATAAACGTTAATCAGAACAGATGATGAGATAACGCCAAAACTGTGTAACATCCAGTAATTGGCTGCCAGAAGATTGCCGTATGTACGCAAGTTTTATCGTGTGTTTTGTTAGCGCCTTATGCTCATAATTATCACTGGTTCGATCGGTCTGTCATTGTATCGAAATTACCTATCCACGCTATTGTGATCTGGTGTTCAAAAAGCAAAATTTGTGCCGACACTTCATATGACGACAGTATGGTGTTATTATGCATAATATGATCTACAGTACTTACAAAATTTGTTGATAAGGCAGGCAATATTTTACAGAGCAACCGGCATCATCCAAGCTTCCTCAACAAATAGGAGGTTGCTTGAAAACCATACACTTCACACGGCAAATGTTTGCAGGCTTGCTCGCTTTTTTCTTAATGGCTAATTTAGAAGAACTATTTTCAACGTACTGCATTTGACTACACTGCATGATGCATTTTTAACGAGGTTTGTAAAGGAGCCGTCCCTCCAAGTGTTGTTGCGTCAGCGATTGCAGGATACAAAATAGCGCCGATGGGTATTTCAGTGGAGATGGGGCTTTCTTGCTTGAAAATTCTATTAAACACTGCCCAATTTCTCGGTGGGGTGTTGACGATTCATGGGAGACACTTTCATTAGCAATTATGTTCTATTCCGAAATATGCTCGAGGCGCATTCCGTAATTCACGAAAGTTGGGTAGTCATTATGGAGCGTCTTCATCAGCATCCTTAGTGAATCCATGAACCGACAGAAATGCAGCTTTAGAGCAGATACTCTGAATAAATTTCTTTAGACTCGGGACACTCGCTTACTTATGGAGTGTCTATGATATTCAAGTGTGATGCGTTGGTCAGGGAGAAGGAAATTAGTGATCGTTCAAGCGTCGGAAATGGGAGAGTGCTCGACGTGCAGTGAGGTTTATCAAGTGCAAAGACGATTGGAAGATTGAATATTAATCTTACAGCCGCTACTTTTACTATTGAGTGTATCCAATTTTATTCAGACGAAAAGAGAGGTTGCAGGTGAGGCCACTAGCGGATGATGATGTGCCAAAGAATGCTTCTTGTATCCGTGATATTGCAGTATTGACAAATCATTGAATTATAGTTGCCATGACCAGACTCTCGGCTAAAGGTTAGAAATGGGGCAAATCAAAAGTTATTTCGCACGGTTTGATGTGAACGGATTCGGAGCACATGTATGGCAAGATTTTTGGATGCCATTAAACTTGCATCTACGCACCGTCAAGGCTATGCAGCTGGAAAGAGTGGCGATAGATTTTGAAGGGAAATGAGTGTATTGATGATTCATCACCATCGATAGACAATGGGATGAAACTAAGGGTTAAGGAATGTCGGAAAATTTCCAGGCGTGGGGGTTCGCTTTTATCGCATCTTCTAACTATAAAGTGGTTAAGGTCTTAAATAACAATATCCAATGTCTGAATGAAGGAGATCACGGCGAAGAGAAATTTTGCTATATTGGCAGACTGCATGGGTCATTTGGGAAAGAATTGGTTTGGTATGAAAACAATGTCGGAAGCACGCATCATTCAGTATTGATAATGAAGCTTTACCGTCCAGTGAATCGAGTCAGAATGTAGCTACGCATTTATTCAGGAGCGATTAGAAAAAACTCATTGCAATTTTGTTTAGATAGTTGGCTTTCAATATTTTACTTTATAATACACAGTTAATGATCTATCGGCCAAGGCGGCTAACAGTAAACATTGTCTTCATACCAGCAGCTGAATTCAAATCATAATCGTAACTGGTAAGAGTTTACTAGAATATTTACTCTCCTTCTCGAGACGGTATAAGGGCTTCACATCGTAAACGTACTTCGACCCGAATTAATATTCTTTGCTGCATCCCGCGCAACTGTCTGCAATAACATACACAGTTTTTCCTTCGTGACAGACCTGACCCGTCTTCCACAAAGCGTGTTTTTATTTGGTGTAAACGTGTCGAATATCTGAGCCGGAGAGTTGGTTGCGGAGGAAATGCAAGAGTGAGGAGTAAAATATGTTGAATAAATTATTATTGGCGACAGTGATATTAAAATACTTATCAGCAAACCTATTAGTTTTTCTTATTAACTACTACAGTTAAATACCATTAAGTGTTCAGTCCCATGATGAGACTTAAGAGATAAGCGCACGTTCTATGTTTGCAAATGTGAGCTTTCTTTTGGGCCCATTTTTATGCGAGTTTTCTCTAAATGAAATCATGTGATCAAGATATGTTATAAGAAATATTCGGAGCTTTCTAAAATAACGATAGATATGATTTTATTGATGAACATTTTGTTTCACTAGTGAACATTGAATACAGTCATCTCCGTTTATATCCCCCATTGAATGAGTCTTTCTTTTGCAAAGGGTTTTATGAAACTTATAGCGGCTAAAAAAAAACATTACAAGTTGGATAAAGTTTTTGGTTTTCGGATGTTGCCGATAAAAACATGTTTTCTTACAGCAGTCAATATTGTGGACGGTAAATACTGCATTTATGGTGAAGAATTAAACTTTAACATTATCATGTTCTAACCAAATATGTTGATAGATTATCGCTCTTTGTTCTGCGGACCATTATTTTGTTAACTAACGGTACAGAAATAACAAACATATAATCTGTACTCTATTAATAATCAATGTTATATTCTACACTTTTAATTAGTAGTTCAGAAAGTTATTGGGTTTGCAATCATATTCTTTGTACTTAATTCGTCCTGGCATATACAATGTTCGGTCTTTTTACTTTAACCTTTTTTTCTATTGAATTTATTGTAGAAAAAATTAATCATAATAATAGGTAAGTTATTGAAACAAAAAAAGTTTTCTTCGTAACTCTATCTCACATAAAGAATTCTATAATTTTGTGTGCAAACACTCCATTAAACAGCGCATGTCTGCTAAGAAACGTATTAGTATGGCTGACACAAAATCGACTTGACAAAAAATATTAGACGTGCACTAAAATTTTGCCAACAGTTTCTTTTACACACGTAAATAAAGTTTCACTACCCATTTGATTCTATTAACCGGGGCAATGTCCAAACTCAAAATCCGTATAACTTATTTTCTCATTAGCATTTATGTTATTATTGTTAATGTCATTATCGAATTGACATTGAGAAAAGAAAGAAGAAGGTTGAATGAAATTCGGAGAAAAATAAGCAGGCTCTTGAGTGAGAAAGTAGGGTAAGTCGGAAATCTCGCACAAGGAAAAACTCGAAATGTCGATGATAGAACTCGGACTTGGTAAGCTAGACTGCTGTTTGTTATTTCTTAAATTCTCGCTAATGCTGCTGCAGCCAGTATTGCTTAGTTTAACCTTCTTTGATAAGCTCGTTTTATTGTTACGACTTTTCGCAATTTTGTCCTTGTCCATATACTTAAATATAAAATTTTCACCATTCTTAAATTTCCTCGGGTTGTAGACATATTCCGGATACATAACCTTGTGTTTGTGTGAAACTAATTTCGAGAGAACATTGAAATATTGTTTGACTTCTTCTGGTTGACGTTTCCAACTTTCGGCGGCCGTCTTGGAAATTTCTTTGAGAGTATGCAGCCCGCCAAAACATTGAGAACGTACTCGACTTTGAAAATTACGTCTAAACAGCACCCATGCATTTTGAGGTCTTGGAGGCAAGTTTCTCTTGTTGCTGTTTTTGCGTCGCTTGCGAATGGGATTGAGAATACTGTCGTAAGATATGGTAAGAGGGTAGGGCGGATTGCGAATAAGTTCCAGTTCGGTTGATGTGAGATTATTAGTAAAACACGTTGCCGGACAAGTAGAATTGGTGGTTGTACATAGTTCTGTGTGAGAATGAACTTGACGCAAAATTGGTTTTTGATTAATTGAATTTGAACTCATGTTCATATCTAGGGAAAGGGGGAGCGACTGGGGTTTTATATTTACATTTGTCGTACATTACGTTCCAAGTAGAATTGTGACTTATGAATAAAACCTGTTTGAGTTAAATTGGAACGGGTTCTAATTTCTACTTGCTCTGCCCAATTCTCCAGTTGTGTAACATAAAACAATATTCGATTTTTCTTTTGCACTGCGGAGCGTTGTCCTTATTGTAGAAGCATATAAAGAATATAAGCGTTTTCTCTATCTAATATATCCGACAATTTAATAAAGCAGACGAGCTATTCCCGGAGTCATACTCCAGTGATGCAATATAAACCAGGGTCCATTGTCATTTGACCAAAACTACGACATTGTTTCACATCAATTTTAAATTATTGAGAAAATACAACGAGCAAGTTAGCTAGTTTTACAGGTCAGAAACGTACGTCGTATGTCTGCGCAAAGGACATTCATGCAAAAGCAAAAAGTTCAAGTCTAAACTATGGTCGTTAATTGAATTAAAAGTGAGCATAATTCTACTTTAGTCCATTACAATAATAAGCGGAAGAATAATTTTATGCGAGTCTTACTAACATACTAGTCTTAAGTTTAATATGTTTTACGGTGAGCAAAATCAAAGTATCTCATACAAAGAGCGGCATTAACGACCAACCTGATGGGGTAAACAAGAAATAGACAAATTACTTTAGTTTTTTTATTCTCTATGCCGAACTAACTAAAAAAATAGTCAACGAAAAACGTTAGAAAACTGAGCATGTATTTACGCGCAGTACATAGATTATATACAAAAAGCATGTTAAACGATCTAATAAAGCTTTCTCCTAAAGTTATAGCAAGATAAAAGGTAATATTTTGCTCTTTAATTAATTAACATCTTTAATCACATTTAATGCTTTGTAATGTGGTTCTCGATAAATGTTTGATAGTATGCTAACTTGTAAAGGATATCTAATGGTTTACCTGAGTAAAAATTACATGCATCGTTCATAAGAAGCAAACACGTACACTATTTTTTTTTTGTGAGGAATAATTTTTTTTAAAAAGTATCAAATTAATTAAGTCACTCTGTTTGAAGAATGATGTACAACCCAATTAATATTTCAATTATGACAGACGTTCTGTTAAAACCCATATTAAGGCTCGTAATCTATATAATGCGCTGGAATTATAATTATTATATAATCGGTTTCGTCGTTTGCTAAATTACAAGGCTTATAACGAAATCCGTCAAGCCGTAGACCGATTTTTTTTAGAATCACGCAATATAATAATAAGTCTATCAAAATATCGCTATTCTTAAGATGATTACTCGTACAATGCACATGACGTTATATAGTTTTTTACATTATCCAAAAATGATGTATTGTGCTGTATGCATGCTTGCATATCTCGCACAATAATAATAATGAAGATCATACCCTCGATTGTTCACTGTTATCATACGCCACAATTGTCCTTTGTCCTGCGGATGCGGTGCAGACATCATGTGGGGCGCATCACGAGTGCATCATATTAGCTTTGTATTCTCGAGTCGGATATATTAGAATAGTAAACTCACACGATGAAAAGAAGACAATATTAATATATTTAAAAAATACTGAATTATATTAGCTGCGGATTCTCAGTTATAACAGATGATTGTATAATGTTGCACGCATTGCTGGATAATTATGCATTCAAGCACTACAGAAGTCAGTACAGTTCTTCTTTGTAGACTATGAAGAATTCGGCCGAACAGATATATATCCATAGTCGGTATCCGGCAAACTGGTAGATCCTACACAGACTTGAGGGATTAACTTTCCAGCCAAGAAAAGAGTACGACTTGAAGCTAATTTTCAAGCATCTACTGTATCATTGCTTCCTACTAAATAATTGTGTATTCAAGCGCTACAGAATGCGGTATGGTTCTTTTTGTAGACTATGGAGAATTCGGCCGAACAGGTATGTATTAGTATGTCCATTGTAATAATATGTAGACCGGTATGAATTGAAGCCAATGCCAAGCGAGCATCTACTGCATATCGTTACTTACTACTGAGTAATTGTGCGCTACAGAATCGGAAACTTTCTTCCGTGCAAATCACATCGTTGTACAGGAATAATTTGCAAACTAGTAACTTGTCCCAAAGAAGACGGAGTTGACTTTCCAGTATTCAGCGTGAATTGAAGCCAATTCTCAGCCTCTATACATCACTCAAATATGTTGACACAAGCAGGCGTTTCTCTAAACGGGATATTTAATATCACTCGTAAACCTTTTGGTTAGATTTCTCCTGCTGTGATCGTCTCATTCTCAGAAGACATTACCTTTCGACTGGTTTTTGAACGGTAGTTACTAAACAGAACAAGTGCTAGTCTTTGAAGAAATGATTTCTTGCTCGACGTTCAGACATTTATAAACACGCATTGCATTATTCTTATAGCTGTACAGCTGAAGGGTTTCTACAATTATGAAAACTCTGAATAATAATGATGATTGTGGTTTGCTCTATTATTGCTGAAACAACATTATCAGACGTTTAGGTAAAACCAAAGGATTATTTATCAAGTCCTGAAGAAATACTGTATATACCGGTAAATATGTATTACTACTATCTTTATTATCGCCTAAGTTTCTTTGCGAATTCATAAATATTAATCAGAAACGGACGCGCAGAGATAATAATGTATGATTTGTAAATTTATTTTCCACAATTATAGTTTGTCTCGTGTTTTGCTAGCGTGATATTTTGAGCTCATAATTGTCATTGGTTTGATCAGTCTGTCATGTAAATCACGATCTGATGTTTCCTGACGACCGTTACTCCAAATTTGTTGATAAGGCGATCAGCTCCAATTCACCTCTCAATGTTATTACAGAGCAACAGAGGAAATAGTATCAGAGCAACCGGCGTTTCTTCACAGCTTCCTCAACAAATAGTTGTAGAACATCAATTTGAGCTTGCTTGAAAATCATACACTTCACATAGACATAATTGCTAGTCAGAGACACGGCAGGCTTGCTCGCTTTTTTCTTAATAGCTAATTTTAATCAGTATTTCAAAGTGTCCGCAACGTACTGCATTTGACTACACTGCATGATGCGTTTTTAACAAGATTTTGTAAAGGAGCCGTCTCTTCAAGTGTTGTTGCGAGTCAGCGATTGCAGGAAACAAAATAGCTCCATAGGTATGTCAGTGGAGATGGGGCCCTCATGAGTCTTTTATCAAACGAATTTTGTCTTGCTTGAAATTTATTAACCATCGCCCAATTTCTCGGTGGGGTGTTAGGCGATTCATGGAAGACTATTCCCGAAATATACTCGAAGCGCGCTACGTAATTCACGAAGGTCATGGAACGTCTTCATCAGCAACATCCTTAGTCAATCCATCAATCGCTCAGGCGGGAGTACGTGCCCAAATACTGCTTCAAGTGGCATTACCGGGCAGCTCGGATTTTCAGCAATCTGTCATCGCGAATGATTTAAATACAAGTTAAGCAAATTATTTGAGAATTTAGTTTTGGATGATGGTGCTTTGCAGACCTTTGTACGCAGACCCTGTGTCGCTTGAAAAGAATGAAAATAAGGTATATCAATCAGCACAGCTAATTGTTTTACGAGGGAATGTGAATGATAATGATGACTGTTTTCGACTTCTTTGCACAGTTTATCTAACGGTAACTAATGTCCTGAATCAATCTTTAGAAATCGGATGACAACTCGTTTGCTATCAAAACATTTATGTTTCGTCTCGCTACTCGCTATGCCTCGGTTGATTACGCGAACTCTTTTAGTCTCACTCTCTCATAGCTATTACTTAACGAAAACCCTAAGGTTAAGCATTGCACAGGGTGTGTTGAATTTAGTAATATTTCATTTGATAGCAATAGCCAATCACTCGTCGACACTACATCAAACCCCTCAAGCTTGGATGACATTATAACTTTGGCAATGCCCTATGCTAGCGAAGTTGAGTTGGAAAAAGACGGGTGCATGCAAATGCAACTTTCTTGTAACATTGAGTCAATTGATGAATAATTCCGACAGCAACTTCAGGCAGTGAGTAAATGTTACTACGAAGAAGCGCAGAAGATGAGCTGGGAGACTCTGAATAAATTGCTTTAAACATCGGGACTCTCTTACTTATGGATGCGCTATGATATTCGAGATGATTAAAGCGTGTGCGTTGGCCAGGAGGAGGAAATTTTAGTGGTCGCTCAAGTGTTGAGAGTAGGGAGAGTGCTCGATGTGCAATGAGATGCATCAACTGCAAAGACCTTCAGCTAATATGTACAGATTTTGTCACCCGAATGCTTAAGGAATGCTCCGTCGGTTTGAGCAAAAGATGGATGATTGAATATTAGTCTTACAACCGCTACTTTACGATGGAATGTAGCCAACGAAAATAGAAAGATTGCAGGTGAACCACGAGCGGATGATGATATGCCAAAGAATGCTTGTTGTATCCGCGATATTGAACAAATCATCGAAGTATAATTGCCGTGAGCTTAGTATTTGCTCAGACTTTGGCCAGAGATTGGTTAGGAATGGGGCAAATCAACCATTATTTCGCACGGTTGATGGTATATTGTTAGCACATTTGTTATGGCAAGTTCTAATTCCGTTGTTGAACTTGCATCGTTATGTGTCGTCAACAGTATCGTGGAAAGAATGATAATAGATCCTGAAGGGATATTAATATGAGTGTATTGGTGATCATCGCTCGCGTAATACCATCGAAAACAGTGGGATGAAACCAAGGGTTTAAGGAATGTCAGAAATTTTCTTCCAATTGGAGGATTTTGGGCAAGCGTGGGATCCGGCTTTGTCGCATCTCCTGGATTCTTGTCTGCATTCTAGTTATCGCGTCTATCAGGGCCTTAAATAACATTATCCAATGTTGATCACAGTAAAGAGTTTTAACAAGAATTGGTTTGGTATGAAAACAATGTCGGGAAGCATGTATCATCCGGTATTGACAATGAAGCTTCACTGTCCAGTGAACCGAGCTCGA